CCAAAATAGGACTATTTTAAATTACTTATAATTCTATTTCTAAATAATATTTGGTAAAATAAAAAAAGCAGATTGTAGATTGAGGTTCAAACTTTCAATTTGTGTCAATTTTGAATCGATTTGATGTATTTTCCGCTTCAGGCAAGTTTAATAATGTAGCTGTTCCTCCAAATTTTTTAACTATCAAATTTAATTATTTAAAAATTTAACAAAAAGTCATTCTATGGTTTTATTTTATTGACAGCATGTAAGTAGAGATATATTTGAATAAAAAAAAATATATTACATTTTTATCTCAATTAAATGGTTGAATATATCCAGTGGCCTGTTTACCCAGGTAGCCACGATTACCCCGGTCTCCCTTACATACTGTAAGAAAATTATACATATGTAATTCTAACTCACCAATCTTTTTATGTTGTTTTATTTTTTGATTCATAGTATCACAATTAAAAAAGTAAGAAACTGAATTTGGTTTTACCGTCAAGTGTTTATAAATAATTATTTCACAACACTTATACTTCTAAGGATGAGGTAACATAAAAATCATTTATTTCTTAGTTTTGGATAAAACTACTTGATTATACATAATAACAAAGAGTTAAATTTTTGAATAATTTATTTATCAAAATAATGTGTAATTAAACCTTATAATAAAATAAACAGTAAATGAATATCAAAACTTGAGATAAGCTACAAATCACACTAAAACAAGGAGAAAGAGATTCATCTTAAATAGGGGTTGCTCGTAGTAGAGTGAAAAGGGTACTTAGGTAGTATGCAGAAGGTTGCTAGTTGTATTCGAAAATCGTTTTTTTTTTTTTTTGAGAATCAGGCGTAAGATAAAGATAAAAATTTGAAAACTTCATTTCATATAGTTTCTTTATAGATAAAGGAAAAAGTTGACTTCAGTTACACATGATAAAAGATACACATGAGTAAAATTTGGACGTATGAAATTTGTGTATAAGTAAATCGAATATGTGCACGCACATGCATACACACACATACCCACATTTTCTCCTATCAAATATAGTTAAATGTATGGGGCGCTCTACATACATCCCAATTGCCCATTAAGTTTTTTCTTATAGCATCCCTATTGCCCTGCCACAGCCCCCCCTCCCCCCCACGAATAATGGAACAAGTTCTTTGATTTTTACGTTGTTTTAACCCAACAATATTAGGTTAAGCCGCTCCTCTGCTCCCCTAATGCATTTCTTTATATTTTCTACGTTTTATTTGGCTAGTAGCAAGTGCTTAGTTCCTCAAACTTTGAAATTAATGTTTATTTATTGGTAAATTAACTTATATGGCTGTAAGTGTCAAACGCTTGGATCCTCACTCTACAGTTAAAGAAAAATATTATTGTTACTAATGAATGATTAAGTTCCTCTAACCTAAGTACATGGCATCTCTTTACAAAAGTTTATAGCAGTAATAACTTGTATTTACTTGACTGTATTCGAAGAAGGAATTGATAGTATTGGGCGAAAATTGTTGTGCTTTTAAAGTTCGAGCATTTGACGTCTAGAATTTCCACTGCCAAGCTAAAATGCTACAAGCTTTTATGTAAGTGAAACATAAAATCCATTTTTTATCTATTTACGTACAAGTGTGTGTGTATACATATTTGTATATGAATAAATAACAAATAAATCTTATGTTTCACTGACATAGAACTTTATTAACATATGAGCTATTTAAGAATTTTCACTCTTATTATAACAATGCATGACTGTTTGCTACCATAATTCTCAAAGTACCAGCAATTAACAATAAACATAGAAGTCACAACAAATCGGCTTATCGGATTTCATATACTTTAGGCTGATTTTAAATCTAGTATAAAAGCAAGTTGCTAAGAAGAAACCAAAAATATGTGTATTGCATTGAAAGTGGTCATGGCGTCCTTCACACTGGTAAAACTTAACATCATTAAGGCACGTAAGCGAACTTTTGTAAGTGAATATGAAAAAATAAAAAAATTCAATGATAAAATGTTGTTTATTTGTAAAAATATTTAGATGATCATAAAACTAGGTCATTTTTTACGATAATGTTTTGTTTCAAGCAGTGAATATAAATCGAATAGAAAATACAATTTTACTATCAGTTTTCAAGTCAGAAGGCTGAACAGAAATGTTATAGATGTCAACTGATCGACTAGTATAAATATTAGTCTGCTATATAGTACATTAGGAGAGAAGTTGATAACTTGGAAGTTTTCATTTCATGAATACATAATTACTGATAGAATTTTATAATTGAACCATTTTGTAAAGGGAACTTTTTATGTATATAACAATAATTTCAAAAGTTTTTTTATTTTTGTATTTTAAAAAATACTAAATGAAAAATAATGTTACATTCACTAACATTAAGTAGCTGGTCTTAACTTTATAAAAAAAGATTTCTTCTTAATGTACTATAAATGCTTGGACCTTTTTTTTTAGGTGAGTAGATGTATGAATTAGTTTAACAATGTTCCACTCCTAATTTGAAACTGATTAAAAAAGGATATAAATGGATTAGCCCCAACTAAACATTTTTTTTTCAGCACTGATTAAAAATTTTTCATTACTAGAAGTTATTTTCAGCGTAGTCGAAAATTTTTTTTCAAGCTATCAATTAGTGTTGTAAATTAAAAACATTCTGACAGAAACAATCATGCCAAATATTGGCAACTACTGCAATATACCTACTGAATGCTTTTTTCTTACTTCATTGCGAAAAAGGTCCAGTATGCTTTTTCTATTTGTAGTGAAAAATTTTACAAACTACTACAGGCATAAAGTAGCGTACTCAGTACTAAGTACTCACAATCCGTTATGTAATGAACTTTAGTTCAGAGAAAAGCTTGAGAGTAGTTAAATTGTGATTTTATCGATGTCTGTATTAAGTTACACACTAGTAAAAACTACTTTAGGAATACTATTTTTAAAATTTTAATGAACAATTACAATAAATAAAACTATAAAACCAAGAACAATATTAACAGTAACGAAGTGCGAAAAGATAAAGTTAATTTACAGTTATGATACTTATAAAAAGCATTTATATGATCTCATTTGAGGCTTTTAGTTTTATCAAATGCATGTTTCAAAATAAATATCGATAGTACTGGCATATTGATCAGAAGAAAATAAGAATGTATCATACGCTCGTTACAAAAACTTGGGAGAAGTTAATTACAGCGAGATCGTGACGAAGTCTTACAATTTTTTTTTATTTTGAAGTGAAGTATAAATAATATGAAATTAAATCTTGCAGATAAACCACATTTGTTTCTAAAAATTATTTTAATTTTTTTGTGTACAAAGTCACAATAACTGGAGCACTCATAGGTACAGGATTATTTACTTCTGTTTCCAAAAAAATATTTTCATTGTTCTAATTTTCGTTGTTAATACATGATTTTTCGTTTATGTCGTAAACTGCCAAAAAATAGGTTTTTTTTACAATACCAGTACGCAATTACGTGCAAACCTTAATTTTTAACATAAATAAGCTAGTTTCTGCAAGTATATTGTTGCTACTATACAAAATATTTTATATAAACTTTTTTTTATAATTTTTCCTTGAGTATTTGAAGGATGCGAACAAGAAACTCGTTCTTGGGATGCCTGACTTCTCTGCCTCAGCTTTACAAGAGGTACCACCAAGCACATTTTCAATTGAAAATTGCAATTGGAATTCATTCCAGNGTTGCAGTAAACAAAAAGATGATAATAATAATAATAGTGGTACATATAATAGTAATAATCTCAAAATACAAGTAGTAACGATGATAGTAACATTAAACGTAATTGTGATAGTAATCTAAGTATAAATGTTGCCAATAATTATAATATTGTTTATTTATATCTTTAGCAGTGGCAATATTCTTGAGAGTGGAAAGGAAAGGGGAAAAAGGGCAGTTTGGTTGTACACGGTAGTAGTGGCATGGGGTTGCTTGTTATAGTGCGGGAGTAAGGAGGGTACCATGGCCAACAATTTCAGTGGGCATAAGCTTATCTTAGCCTTGTTTAATGATATATTCGAGAACTGAAAAAAATTAAGGGTTAATTTATTAAACCATAAAAAATTGTGCTTTTTATCATTAAGTCTAGAATTTCTAACTTGTAACTTTTCTTTATTCATTTTACTAAACGTCTATAGAATAAAAAAGTATGTAAACGAAAACCTTTACTTACTTATGGAAAGAAAATATTTTTTTAATTCTAATCATAGATCCACCGTCTTTTATTGAACCGATGGTTAACAAAGAAGCAGTAGTTGGTGCTTCTGCAGTACTTCAGTGTATGGCCAGCGGATCACCGAAGCCCCAGCTGTTTTGGCAAAAAAATGGTAGTCCGCTTCAAACAACCGAACGCCACTTCTTAACTGCAGAAAACCAGCTTCTTATAATTGTTGGCGTTGTACCGACCGATGCTGGCAATTATGAATGTGAAATAAGTAATTCATTAGGAAGTGTCAAAGGTATCTCACGTCTGTGTATTAAAGGTAATGTGCTGCTTTTTATATCATACTCAACTATGCTTATGTGTGCATATTTATAATAAATCGTTATGAATTATCTCTATAGCTGATAAGATTTGTATATATAATTCTCACCTACACACGAAAGTCTAATGTCATGTTATTAACTTAATTTTTCTTACCTCATAAAATGGAATTATTTATTAGTAAAAAGTTGCTAACTTTATAGCTGATAAGTTGAGAAGACAGGAAAATAAAAAGACGTCAGGTACAGTGAAATATTATTTTGCAATAAACTGAGGTCTGACTTAAAGAAAATTACCTTTTCACGATAAGAATTCTAACATGCTTATCTCAATCAATTCAGATAGTTTAAATATCTGCACTAGTCTAAGCGTTACTATATCTTTGAATAACTTAATAAAATTAGAAAACGACAAAACTAATAAATTGGCTTTGATAAACGTTGTGCATGTCTCATGTAAATGTTGTCTAGATAAGTACAGTGATAAAACAGACCGGTTTCTTAAAAATCCCATGAATAAGTCCAAACATAGTAGTGATTCAAAATTAATAAGTACTGTACTAGAAGTTAGGTAAAATCATACGTTTGTTTACAACATCATAGTTGTGAACAAGGAACCTAACTATAAATGACGTATTATTCCAGAAATTTTATTTATCAAAAGTATTACTTATTGTGTTATGACCGAACTTGTTTAAAATATGGTCTTAACCGTTTTATTGTAGTGTCGTTCCTAAGTCTCTTAGCATTCAACTCGTGAGCTTTATTTGTTCTTTTTAGTTGGGTAAAAATCTTTATTTGAATAATATGGGTGATTTTAGTTAAAGTTATTCTTTTATTCGAACAGTTAAAAATAATTGATTTTTTTAAATTCAATTAGTTCAGGTCACTCAAACAAGATTTGGTATTAATTATATTACTAATAAATACCTTACATCTGTCACTTACATAATCATTGATCGTTGTTACTGCTGTTTCAGAATTCCATAATGCTTCGTGCAGTAATTTTGAGTGGACTACACGTTCGTGATCGAAAAGACATTGAAGGTTCTGCTTTCTCTGTTATCGCTCGAACCACTTTCGGCAGGCCTCCTTTGTTGTACCTCGCTCTTTAGCCTAGTCCTATACTGTTGATGTTCTCGAAATGCACCCGAAATGCTTAAGCCAACACGTTATGCCTTACGTGTATAAGGTAGTAGCGAGTCGTGGGAGTCAAGAGTAGACTAAAACCTTAGAGGACAGGTGACAGACGTAAAAATAGCGATTTGTCCTCTTGACGGTGCGTTTTTATAGCGTCAGAACGAGTAAAAGAGACCTTTGGTTGAATTAGGTCCACCAACGAGCGATATTCTTACAGACTGTGTTGACAGCAAAACAGTAGGCTTGCAGGATGATGTTTCAGGTTGTGATTTCGTGTATTAGAAAATAACAATACCGTACCAATCGAATTTTTATGACAAGTGCGACTTAGATTTTGGATTAGTGATGATGCAAGTTTGCAACACCAAGTACAAGTTTAATTGTGACAAATAAGTTCACAAATTTCGCCATTGATCCTTTTGGGGATTTTACAATCACTTTTGAAAATAAAGAAACAGTTTGTTTATTACGATTTTTAAATTGGTATACATTATTAGAAACGGACAATCAATGCACAAGTAGACTGTTCATTTATGCATGCAATTCAATTTATGCATACATACATTTAACCTACGATTTCATTGAATACATGCATTCTTACAACAAGGCTGGTCTCATTATATGTTAGCATATTATGAAATATTCACCTTGAAGCGAATAGACACACACACACGCACATGCGCGTGCGCTCATATAAGTGACGTATAAGCACCACTTGCCATATGAGCTTCTGTATAAACACAGTATATTTTGTATTAATTTGACAAATGAATTGGCTTTTTACTTTTATTATGAATTGTCTGTATAAACTTGGGATGTCACAATTACATGAAAGAGAATGCACTTAAAATTTTAAAATCTTATAGTTTACTTTACAATGTGTGGTGAAGGATTAATTTTTCTAAATTTTATATAAACATGTATGAGTGATCGGCGTGCTTTCTATACGAACGTTTATTTAACAAGTACACACATAAGTGTTGATGATCTATGAAGTAATTTCTTATTATACTGAAAACGTGTTTATAAGTACGTCCTAAAAGCGTTCCATTTGATGACGTATGAGTTAACGATATTGTAATCAAATTAACTATTTGTATGGTGAACTACTAACCATACATTTACTCATAAAATTTCAGGAGTTCCATGAGTTTTCAAAAATTTTTCCATATCGCCACGTTAACTAAATTTGAAATTTCATGGTACCAAGCTAATTATTATACAGTGTTAAATGATTGCAACTGTCTATTAATTAGAAAATATTTCTTTACAAGATTTTAACACAATTGCTAGTATGTAAACTCTATACCGTATACCGTGTTCTGACCGCCATTACGTTCCTCTTTTCTTTCTCTTCCTCTTAATTGGAGTTTGCTAGTAGGTGTCCATAGCTAACTAAAGTCTAAAAAAATACTTATTTTTTAATCGATGTACTTTGACTCCTTAATGCGGTAAACAACGTTGTTTAGCTCATTTTATGCGAATTGATTGTTCATGAAAAATTTTTTTTATCAAGTTGAAAATTTTTTTATTTTTGTTCAAAGATTCCCCATATTCCTTGGCATATTTTAAACGAAAAATTCACTAAGATACTTATACCTAAACCTCTTATTACTTGAGTAAAAAATTCGTGAACTTTATAAAAATAATGTTTCTAGAATTTTTAACTAGGTAATATTCAATTGTCAATGCATTGTTTTTAACTCACTTGGGCTTAAATTTAATCTTACGAAATGAATCATTGCATACTTTTTGATAAAAAAAAAATTCATTACAATCGGCAACTTATTAACTATGGTATCGAGCTTAAACTCTCGTGTATCATCGATCATCAGTCCAGTCAAATCAAGCCAAGTTAGTACAATGAACAATGTTAAATTTTTTGACGAAAAAACTTCTTTAATCACATTTGCATTATTTTCACCTGAAAAATTCTCTTAATTAAATTTTTCTGAACCCTATAGATTTAACAGGAAAAGCTAAAATATCAAAAATTAATACATTGCACCAATTTTACTCCATTTGCCTGAAGTGATGATCGATGATACACAAATTAAAATGGTCATACGTAAACTAATACCGTGGTTTTCAAGCTGTCGATAGATGTGAATCTTATTTCATGTGAAAGTTTACATATTACTGTAAAAATTTTAATGTAGGTAAATTAAAAATATTCCAGGAACAGCTAAGTGATGTATAGTTAAAGATCGTAAGATTGTAATTTTTTCGAACTTCATGAGCTTTTGACTCCAATACTGGCTTAAGTATATATATATCTGAATAAACATGTTTGAGTCAAAATACAATTATGTTTTATTTGTTAATAAAAATTTTTATTAACGACTAATTGCCAAAAAGTTATGTCAGACAGCTTTGTTTACCGTATGCATAGAATTGGAACGCATCGAACAAAAAAACGTGTATGCATGAATTACACATATTAGCAAAACTTTACTAAGAAAAAGAGAAAAAAGAGAAAATTTATGGCTGTCAGTACGTCATACATGGTGTAGGTAACGCCAATGCAATTGTATGGAACTGTTTTAAATAAACAGTTTTTAATTAATTTATTGTTAGTAACATCTTATTTAATATTTTGTAATTTTTTCAAAATTGAGTACTAAAAAATCTTAAATTTTTCTAACGTTGAATCATAGGAAAATTCTGAAACTTTATAACATAAAATTTGTACGAATCCAGATTTGCAGCTAAGCCAGTAAGCAATAGCAACTACTTTGTGGTGGGTAAATGCAGAGTACTTCAGCAAATTCGTATATATTTTAAAGTGTGAGTGCAAGTAGAAAGAAAATAATGTTTGAAGAAGAGTATTTTGCTACTTGCATTTTTAAGTAACTCTTACTATTTTTCATGACTTATAGCAGACTTTTAAATTTAATAAATAAGTTTCTTTGTTTTTATTGTGTTAGAATGTACATCTTGTACTTGGAGATTTATACATACGTCAGGTAAATTAACGTGTATCAGGACACTTTTGACGGTGGAAAATTATTATTCTCGGATTTTCAAAAATTATATCACAATAGTACGTATAATCGTTTTCAACCGTTGGCACACATTTTTTTCTATCACTTAAAAGAAATTCTTGATTTTTTTTCTTATAATTGTTTCAACATCAAGCTTAATAACTTTTGTTTAATTTAGCAGTTACATGACAAACTTAATTTGTATTAAGGTAGTTCAGGACATCGCTTAAGCTACTTCTGGACAAATGTCCATTTCTATCTTAAATACATATAACCGATTCCACATTGCCATCACGAAGTTTATTAATAGATAAATGCATTTAAATTGGATAAAACAATAAGAATTAAAGCTTATTAAAGCCTACAAACTGATCATACTGGTTTCAAACAGAGAGCTTCTATCCTCAGTTACATTAAGCATTGTCACGTTCTGAATCTAAATTACAGTGATGCGCCGTCAAAAAATGTGAAATTTAATTTTTTAATTAGTTTTAACGTTACAAATTCATTTATTCTCTGCCATTGCATCGACGACGCTCGTGCACGAGAAATTTGAGGTTATGATTTTAATTCTCTGTATTGAAGATAACTTTTATTGACAATCCTACTAAACTACATTATTTATAACATCTTTTACTTAAATAACATGAGAAAGTACGAAAAAAAGGTTAAAATTTTTTTAATTATTTGGAAAAATAAACATAACTAATTATGTCCCGATAAAACTGACGTGATTCAACTTTTATCGTAATGTGGAACACATGATTTCAACAGCATACAAGAAATATTGTTTTTTTGTTGACTTTTTACTTTAACTTACACATTTTTTTTTGTTCCCCCTAATATCTTGTAGAATAAAGAGAAATTGTGTGTTT